ATATTATGATTCCACTTATATGAGGCACCTACCATAGTCAAACTCACAGAGATTAAAAGTAGAATAGTGGTTACCAAGGGCTATGGGCAATGAGGAGTTATTGTTTTAATGGACAAAGTTTCTATTTGGGATAATGAAAATGTTCTAGAGATAGAGGTGATGGTTACACAACAATGTGAATGTCCTTAATGCCATGATTGCACACTTAAAAATGGTTTAAATGGTAAATTTTATGCCAATTTTACAGTCATGCACTGTATAACATTTCAGTCAACAACGGACTGCACATATGTCAGTGGTCCCACAAGATTATAATAGAGCTACCCTATACAGGTGTGCCATTTTTTATCTTTCTTTTTAGGATAGGGTTCTTGCTATGTTGCCTAGGCTGGAATAAAGTGGCTATTCACAGATGTAATCATTGTGCACTACTGCCTAGAACTACTGGACTCCTAGTCTCAAGCAATCCTCCTGCCTCAGCCTCCTGAGTACCTGAGACTACAGACACACACCACTGTACCTAGCCCACTTTTTATCTTTTATATCATATTTTTACCATACTTTTTCTATGTTTGGATATATTTAGATATACAAATATTTACCATAATGTTATAATTGCCTATAAGACTGAGTACAGTAACATGCTGTATAGGTTTGTAGCCTAAAAGCAATAGGCTATACCATATAGCCTGGTGTGTAATAGGCTATATCATCTAGGTTTGTGTAAGCACACTCTATGATGTTCACACAATGAAATCACCTAATGACACATTTCTCAGAACATATCTCTGTCATTAAGCAATGCATGACTATATTTTACCACAACAAAAAAAATTAGAAAAAAAAAAGGTCAACATGGTAAATTTTATGTTATCTCTATTTTACCACAATTTTTTTAAAAAAACAAAAAAATTTTGGATGGATTGCAAAAGATGTGTTTGGCAAGACAAGGAGGACACTGTCCTCTTGTTTCCTTGACTGTCCACCTAGGTACAGCATTATTCACAATGAGGGAAAACCATCTAATCTAAAGTTGAATTTGTTTCTGTCTTTAGTCCTATAATCCTTGGGTCACTGAACTAGAATACAAAATTTTTTAAAAAGAGCAACAAGACATATTCAGTTTGTTGTTATACCTAAGCGATCTAAACCATTTAACAGGGAAATAAATATTTTAACAGCCTAATCCTCTGCATAAGGAAAACAGAAAGCCAAAAGATTTTTCCTAGCTGTTAAAATATTTCTACTTAAGAAAGTAGGAATGTAGAAAGAGTAACAAAATGCTCAGAACAAAAAGATATCTGTTATATCAAAACTAGTTAAAAATTTTATGTTCCTAATGAAGGAACACTAAGATATACCAAGTTCATACTGAAAACAATGGAAAAAGTTGAACTATGATTCTTTACAAGGTATTTTAATTCTCCACCCCTGAGAAAATCAAAGCACCCTGATAGGTACCCCAAGTCTTTTCCCAACCTCTTTGCCACTCTCTCTTCCTCTGCTCTGTTCCACCCTTCCACCTTGCTTTTCTTTTTGTTTTTTGTTTCTTTGCTTTGTTTTATATTGTTTTTTAAAAGGAAAGGGGACCAACTAATATATATAGAAAAAATTAGCCGGGCATGGTGATGCATGCCTGTAGTCCCAACTACTCAGGAGGCTGAGGCAGAGGGATTGCTTGAGCCCAGGAGTTTGAGGTTGCTGTGAGCTAGGCTGACGCCATGGCACTCACTCTAGCCTGGGCAACAAAGCGAGATTCTGTCTCAAAAAAAAAAAGGAGAGGGAAGCTGAGACAGGAAAGGAATAGGATTATAGGAATAAACCAGTAAAGAAGAAAGAAAACCACTATAGTTTATTTTTTCCCCTCACAATGAATCCCAAATACATCATCATCATCACCACCACCACCATCACCAGAAAATGCTAACAATCCCTATTTCTGAGAGTAAGGAAAAACTAAATTTCCTGGAGTCACAGCCTAATCTAAAGCAAAAGACAGAAAAACCGACTGCAGGCCTGCAACTGTAAATTAAGTCTGTATGCAGAATTCTTCTAACAACCTTGACTATAATACAAAGTTGCAGTTAAATACAGTGACATGAACTTTAGTCAAAGGGTGGAGCACTAAGTTATTTAACAGCTTTATACCCTAAGAAGTGACATCAGTTAAAGAACTTTAAACTCAAGCGTTTCCTTCACTGAGTACAGAAAACATCCAGGCTTTCCCAAAACATACATAGCACTGGGAGACAACTATACTAGGAGATAGCATCTGATAGATAGCATCTAATAATAACTAAGAGTTTAAAGATGTAACTTCATACTATACAGTTCTATGGGGAAAACAGAACAAGAATTTGGGAAGAAGCTAATTTATCTGTTTGAACTCAAAATAATCCTCTAAAACAGTCCACCATTCCAAGAGTCCTTTTGATCCCAGTGACAAGTATGAAGGTCTCTGAATTGGACTGCCATTTCAACTAGAGGCCTCCCTAAGCCAGTAACAGTAATGTTTTTTCCCTGTTGTAAAACATTTGGCTGATTTTTGGTAAACATTCTCATATAAAAAGAACACAACATCAATGCTGGTATAATCCTATGCTCTTCCTTGTGCACATTTTCCCTCCTTAGTTTTCCTTAATCATGAAGGAGGAGAAGAGGAGCAGGAGGAGGGAAGGAAGAGGGGAGGGAGAAGGGAAGGGGAGATGATGACAAAAGCTTGGAGCCTAGGATATACGGGCTAAATAGATTTTCACCCCAAAACTTAGCCTTAATCTTCTGAACCAAATGTCCTTTATAACTAACTCCCCCTTCTGTGGTTGCCACTTTTCCTAAACCCCAGGTCTTCCTGACTCGCAGCAAGGCCGGACTAGATTACAGTTATGTGGTAGGTTCTGTCAGGCAAGCTTTGACAAGGTCTCAAAATAGACCCTGGGCACCAGCCAGGGAAACTGCCACTCACAAGTTTCAACTTCATCATAGTTTAGCACCTCAGCACTTATTTTTTTTTTCTTTAGTTTCTCTCATTTCAAAAAGCCAAAAAGAATCCTGAACTTCCTCCTGGCCTCCTGTATTACAGGAGTGACCTGTAATACATCAAAATTAAAATTTAAACCTCTTTTCAGGGTGGGGGAGATGATAAAAAAAATTTTTTTAATCTCCCTTGTTCTGTTCACAAACACTCTGCAGAACAGAGACAATCTGTACCCACTTTCTGCCTTAAGAAATTAATTCATCAATAGCACTCTGGTTTGTTTGCAAAAGGATTTCTGGATGTCAAACTCCACAGAGGTTTATTTTATAATGAATAGACTAGGATGTAGAAGATAAAAGAAGAGAAGAGGTGGGTTATTAATTTCTGGTGTGACTAATAACATAGTAGCAGACTCCAGCAGGGCAAGAATTTAAACTATATACAATGTTTTTAATTGATATTGGTCATAAAATTCTGAATCAACCTACTATAAGATGTAGCTATTTAACTATTACCAAATATAAATGGTTTATATATGACACCACTCGTCTTCAAACCACAATATTTCTACTCTTACCGTCACAAATAAAATTAACCACCTGACACTCAAATGTTTTTAACTGCTTTATAAATACAGTTGCAATATATTTTTTTTTATTGCAGTATGTTTTTCTGGTTAAGGAACTATCTCTTTACTTATATTCTCCACATAGAAAGCAACTACCTAAAAGAAAAAGGCAATGAAATGGCCTCTAATTTGCAGGTGCAATGAATAGTGCTCCTAAGGTAAGGACAGAATTTTATTTTTTGTTGGTTTTGTTTTGTTTTGTTTTGTTTGAGACAGATCTCACTCTGTTGCCCAGGCTAGAGTGCCGTGGCATCAGCCTACCTCACAGAAACCTCAAACTCCTGAGCTCAAGCAATCCTCCTGCCTCAGCCTCCCGAGTAGCTGGGACTACAGGCATGCACCACCATGCCTGGCTAATTTTTTCTATATATTTTTAGTTGGCCAATTAATTTCTTTCTCTTTTTAGTAGAGACAGCGTCTCGCTCTTGCTCAGGCTGGTTTCAAACTCCTGACCTCGAGCGATCCTCCCGCTTCGGCCTCCCAGAGTGCTAGGATTACAGGTGTGAGCCACCGTGCCCAGTTAGAATTTCATTTACTCTTAAATGATCCTCATCCTCATTCCCAGCATGCTGCAAGAATTATTTTTTCTAGATATCATTAACTCTGTTCCTTCTCACACTAGGAGCAAACAATACACAAGAAATCACTCCCTCTCTCTTGCTAAATTCATTTCTGGTAAGGATGTTTTTGTTTTGAGAGAGAGAGAGAAATACTTTGCCAAATATTAATATATTCTCCATATCACTTTTTTTTTCATTATGGAAATGTTTAAATCCTGACCTAAAAAAGATTTCCCTTGCATATTTACCTATCAAGACTGTCAGTTATGGTGGTTTCCACAAGGGATTTTCCAAAAGGGAATCTCTGTTCACAGGGAACTGAAACTCTTAAGTCACTATTAGCTGGACAATAATCAAAATCAACATTGGGAAACAGTCTGAATATAAAAATGGATATCTAAAGTTTAAAAAAATGCCAAAAGTTAATCAAAGAATTAAAGGAATTTGGTAATATGGAACAATAAGATAAGCCTGCTATTACTTTATAACCAACTAAAGTACTTTATAAATGAAGATTAAGGTAAAATTCCAAAAGAAGGAAAAGAAAAACAAGTATCAAGAACTCAGTGATTTCAATGTCATTTTTTTCACATTTTGAAAGCCAAACATGATCAAATTACATTTCAGCAATAAGAAGTTATTTCTAGTTTAAAATGAATCCACTCTAATAATAAATCACAACTTCAATACACACATTCTTCTAGAATAGAACTTAAATAAGAACTCAATTATCGTCTCATTCTCCATTTTTAAGGACAGAATCACAAAAACGGGCGATGCTTTCCACTTAAAAGACTATTTTGCACAGTGCAAATTCATTCAGTGAACTTTTTCATACCTTAGTGATGGTAGCTGTGCTTTCCACTGACGTTTATCTTACTTCTAGACCCCTTCATTTATCTTCCCACATCTGGCAAAAAAAAAGGGGGGTAGGGAGTAAAATCACATCACTTAGGAACTAACAAACTGCTCTAAATCCAAGCATTCTGCAATACTTAAAACTTTTATTTCCTTACCATACTTCATGACAATAAATGTCCAGCAACAAACCTAACAAAACCTAATAAACACTTCCTATGTTATTAGCAAAGGCATCTCAATAGATAGGCAGAAACAAACTTGGCTTTTCTTTATTTCAATTTTAAGATCCATATCAATGATTCACAAAGTGAGTGACCTAACTTCCAAATGAATCATACTTTCCGAAATTCTTACTCTACATGAGTGTATTATAATACTAGGTCATCATCTCTATATCTGCTAAACAGAGCATGACGTTGGTTAAACAGGGTTAACTCTGCAAGACTTTTAAAACACAGCAAATGTGGAGTCCCTGCCAAATAACTCTACCTGCAACAATGCACTCTCCAACAACTGCACCTTTCCATGCAGATTCATCCCCAAAATAAAAATACAATCTTGAAAAAAATTGTTAAACACTTATAAAGAACGTATCCATCCATACCCTGCTCTCCATCTCTCCTGTTCCAATTCTGCATCCACATTCTTTTCCCATCGGGATAACATAAAAAATTAATACCACTGTGATCCTAATATACCTCTTTTAATCAATTAACTTACTCTACTGTTTTTCTGTTTACCGCAGAAATGCTGAATCATTAAATGGAAACTCAAAACTAACTGCAAATATTTAAGGTTTAGGATACAATATTTCCCTAGCCATAAGTCAGGAGCCTGATATTTGTATCTCCCACGGCGGAAAAAGTAAAGCAAACACTTGAACTCTTTTCCCCCTAAGAAAGAAAAAGAAATGGGTTCCTTTAACCCCCCCCGCTTCCTGCTGGACATCCACAGCAGAGGGATACCAGGCCTGATTGTAGCTATAGAACTTAATCCGAGTATGAGTAAAAACCCCATAGTAGTCAAGTATTAACCCCGACCCTCCTAACAAGCGCCTGTTAAACCCGCGCTTCAGTTCGGGTCAAGAAGAAGTAAAATTCCATAAAAATGCTATGCCCTGCACTGACCTGACACCGTTCCCTGAGGGTGCTCGTCCCGGGACAGAACCCGAGTGTGGCGTCTAGGGAGGAACAGAAGGAGCCTCGGGCACCCTAAACAGAGGGACAGCTGCACAGTGCGATTTCTCCTACAATGGGAGTAACACTTTCCCCCGGCGCGGAGAGAATGAGCGTTAGAAATCAAGAGTGATACCCGAGAACGCAGCAGGCAGGGGGCGACCCTGGCCCGGTAGCCCGCTGGGGGATACCAGTCCCCAGGGAATCCCGGCCCACAGCAAGAGTCAGAGGCAGCACGGATCTCAGCGGGCTGCGGAGACCGGGAAGGGGCCCCCAGCTCCCCGCTCCCACCGAGACAGCGAGAGGAGCGGCCCTTACCTGTGTCTGGGCGCGGGCTGTGGCTGCGTCGCCGCCCGGGAAGGGCCGGAGCGCGGCTCGCCAGCCGGGCTCCCGCTGGGGCAAGAGGCGAGAGGCGCGGCTGGACGACTCGGTCCCGGCTTCCCAGTGTACGCGGCAGCTCCCGACGCCAGCGGCCAGCTGGTCAGTTACGCCGGTGTGCCCCAGGCGCCGCGGCAGAGACAGCGGGAACCGGCCCTCGGGAGGAGCCGCGGCCGGAGCGGCAGGCAGAGGCGGCGAAGGAGGGGGCGGGGCCAAGGGGTCAACGACCCGCTCACCCGGAAGCAGTTGTGGCCGCGGCTGCCCGAGAGCGCCGCACGATGTGGGCCTGGCTTTAACCCGGCGGGGCAAAGTACCCAGGGCTGTCCCGCCGCGAGCTGCGCGCTGGGCAGGTGGGTAACATTGCCCAAGCTGCTATGCTCCTGCCTCCCTGCTCCGCCATTGCGAGCCGTTGGGGCTGCGCGGAAGGGAGGATGGCTGGGCGCGACTGCCAGTAGGGCGGGGCCTGGGCCGCTGGTAGGGCGGAGGCCCGGGCCTGCCTATGGGGGTGACTCCTGGGGATCCGCGATTCCTGCCCAGCCCCTCCGACCCCAGGACCAGGGCCAGTAATATGAACTGTTACGTGTGCCGGTTCGAGGCTGCACCTGCTCTGGTCGCCTCTAAACCGGGTAAGTGGGCTGAGGTGGTGCTCTTGACTGTAGAACTATACGAGGGTGGGTGTGGTTGAAATGCCAGAAGCCTTATATCCCAAATGAAAACGTGTGATCTTAAAATTATTTTCCGGAGAAGACTGCTTGGAAGGGAGGGCGGAGGGAGGAGTATAGAGTCAGTTAAAAACCAAATAGAAACATACCTGTCATTTATTACAGTAAATGTATCTATCAAGGCCCACCAGGTTCAAGGCACTTGGATACCTTGCCTTCTAGTGGGATTTAAGCAAACAAACAAGGTAATGACAGATTATATTAAGGCTCTGCAGGAAACACACAGAGTGATGAGAAAGATTTTGTGGACGAGACCTCTTTGGCTGAATGGGATGGCTAGAGAAGACCTCCAGGAGGAAGTGATAGTTGAGCAGCTTCCGGACGAAAAGGCACGCAATATACTTAGAACTTTACGTACAGGGACTCTAGGTTCCAGAATCCCCCAAATAAGCCAAAATTCACATATATCAGCCACACCCACACTTATATTCTCATTATTACAGTTGGAGCGACACCCCAGCCCACTAGGCCAGACGGTTAGAGGGAACCAGAACAGGTATAGCCTTGAGCTGGCACACGAATCAATTCACATTACCAGCCTTGGTCGTAGGGTCATAGGTGGTGGGCATGTTAAAAGTCTTTCTCTAAAGCCTTCTAAAAGCTGTCTCTGTGTTGCCCATTCCCTCTTCAATTTCAGAAAGCTTGATCACCCTTAGAGTTTATAGGAGCTAGCACTAATATGGGAGGTTCAAGAGACAGCAAAAATTATATCCATAAGTCTTGAGAGACAAATTCTTTAACTTTTCACTATTTCTCTTTTTATGTCACTATTTTTCTCAGACCCATGAGTAAAAACTAAAACTATGATGTTTACTTTGGCTTAAGAAAAGCTCAATCTTCCCAAAAGATTGTACTATGTTATGATCTGAATAAAAGGATTAATGACATCTTTTGCTAAATCAAAGACAAAATGCTGACTTGTAAGGAAAAGGATCTATTCAGGTACTAATGCATTACTTGAATATACCAATAAGCCCAATATTTATTAAATATTAACTCTATAATTAATAGATTGTCTGGATAATATTAGGGTTAGATTCTCTTGCCCTTTTACTCCTTAGCCACTTGTTTTGGTTCATGCCAAACAGAAATATTTTGCAATGTCTTTTTGGGAAAATGGACTGGGAGGGAGCTAACACTTACTGAGTACCTACTACTTACACAGCATTGTACTAGGCACTTATATGTATTACCTCTTCCAATAGTAGGACTAGCATTGAGATATACCTGTTTTAGCAACAAAGACGTTGAGGTTCAGAGAGATTGTGACTTGCCTAAGGTAACAAAACACATAACTAGAAGCATCAAAATTTGAACTCAGGTCTGGCCCTAATTTCTCTTTTTCTTTACATCATACTGCTGTACTTTAAGAAGAAAAGATAAGTGGAATGTCCAGCAACGGACTTTTATATTGGTTTTAGAATTTTTACTATGAAAATATACTCTAAGGTGGAGAGGTATGGAGCAGTTTTGGAACTTCTCTGTGTTTACTTCTCCCTCTATAGAATATTTGTTGTCTATTTTGCAACAGAAAAAAAGACTCCACTTGTTTTAAGAGTTTGTAATGTCATATGTGGTTTGAATGCTGCCAAGAATGTATGATGCTAATATTTTGTCATTATAAGGGGGTCCTGACTGAATGCATCACCCTGAATTATTTCATAGGCAGGCCTTCCCTGCACATTAAATGATTTCTTTCTGTCAAAAATATGTATTCCCAGATCTTTATGGAATATTCTGACATGTGAATGCCCTCAGGTCTGCATGGACTAGCGACTGCTCTGGGGATGTACTAATAGAGGAAGGAAACTTTTGCAAGTGTTTATACAGTTTCAAGAATGAGGTGGTAGAATTTGTACGTTTTTGTTCCTTTCATAACGAATCCTTCACATTTTTCCTTGATGATGCCAAGAAATAAAATTTTTCCTTTCTTAAAAGCGAATACTCATTTTTGTGGTTTTCACAAGATTGTGTTTTGTAAACATAATACTATGTTTTACTTCTACACATCATTGGAAACATCGTTAGTTCAGACATTAAAAATAGGATGCCACTTTTAAAAGCCTTATATTTTTATTAGTAAAGTGTGTCTGTGTGTGTGTATTGGAAACATTTTTTAAATTTTGATTAACTCCCTACAAACTTATGGAAGCTTGGCAATGTAACTGTCTTTGACAATGCATATTTGTTTTAAGTTCTCTTTCTAAAAATTCCTTATCTAAATTTACTACTTTTTCTTTTTTCTTGCTGTCATCTTTTCTTTTTTCTTTCTTTCTTTCTTTCTTTCTTTCTTTCACTTTATATTTGGAAGTAATTACAGACTCAGAAAAGTTGCAAATATTGTACAGAGAAATCCTGTGTATCACCCATTTTCCCCCATTGGTATCATCTTACGTGGGGAAATCTTGTAATACATTATTAAAACTAGGAAATTGACATCTTTCTGTCTTCTTTAGGTTTTTAGTTTCTTTTTATGTTTCACTGTATCAAAAAGTTATCATTTTGCAATAATTTATTTCTATTACATTTGATTTGGCTCTTCTCCCTTTTCTAAATTAGCAAATGTTAATAGTTAATAAGCTTGCCATGATGCTTGTCTCGAATTACAAGTTTATTAAAAAATTCTGTGGGTCAACACAATCGAAAGTGATTAATTTGTAAGGTTTTTGCTTTTTCTGCTTATACTGGTCCATGTCATCCTGTCCTAATAAACCTGTAAATTTATACAACCCGTGTTTGTGTATTTTAATACATCCCCTGACCACTGAAATATTTTCAAAGAGATTGTTATCAAAGTAAAAGGAGAAAGAATACAAGGCTGCTCATTTAACTGGAAAAAGAAAAGTTTCTAAACATCTAACTGTCCAAACAAGAGTGCTATGGTCTCTTGGGCAATATGTAAAATCTCACTTATGGCCAATTCTGGCTCTACATGGATGCTTCTAGCCAGGGCAGCTCACCCTTTACTCCACCAGAGAATAAAAAGAGGGAGAAAACAAAATGTAAATTACTTTCCTCAGTCTTAGTGGTAAGGAAAGGTTGATGGGAGGGGATAATTTGGGATTTTGTGTAGGTATCAATTATGTTATGAACACCTAATCACAGATAATCAAGTGATGGCTCTTCTGCATTATATACTCATTGTAAATGAGTAATAAAACATCCTTCATAGTATGGCTTATTTAGCAAACTATTCACTTGCTATGTACAGGCAACCATTTAAGCACTCATAATACAGGGATGAAACAGGATCTTTGGCCTTAAGGAGCTAGAATTCCACAGTTTATGTATATGTATATAGACATGGTATAGACATACACATAAAGAAACTTTGGAAATTCTTGGTAGAGACAGGTCTCACTATGTTGCTCAGGCTGGAGTGCAGTCACATGATCATTGTTTGCTGCAGCTCAAGCAATCTTCCCACCTCAGACTCCTGAGTAGCAGGGACTACAGGCACAAGGCACCATGCCTGGCTAATTTTTCTTTTCTTTTTTTTTTTTAATGAAGATGACGTCTCACTATGTCACTCAGGCAGGTCTCAAACTCTTGGCCTCATGTGATCCTCCCTGCTCAGTGTCCCAAAGCACTGGGATTACAGACATGAGCCACTATGCTCAGCAATATATTATATGTTTTAAGTAAGTATTAAGCTCTTACTGTGTGCCAGATACTTTCCAAATGCTAGAGATCCAAAGGAAAGCAAAAAGAGAACTGTGTTTCTCTTATGCAACTACGGTCTGATAAGGGAGATATCACAAAACTAATTTTTACAATCTAACAGTTATTACTAAGGGGTATAACTGCCATGAGGGCATGAAAGAGGTGGGACTCAACCTAATCTGGGGTATCATAAATGGTCTCTTCTAGGAAGAGATACTTTAAGCCAAGAATTAATTTGTTTTTTTATTTTGTTGAGACTGAGTCTCACTCTGTTGCCAGGCTGGAGTGCTGTGGCGTCAGCCCAGCTCACAGCAACCTCAAACTCCTGGGCTCAAGCGATCCTCCTGCCTCAGCTTCCTGAGTAGCTGGGACTACAGGCATGTGCCGGCTAATTTTTCTCTATATATTTTCAGTTGTCCAGCTAATTTCTATTTTTTTAGTAGAGACAGGGTCTCACTCTTGCTCAGGCTGGTCTCAAACTCCAGGCTTAAGTGATCCACCCGCCTCAGCTCCCGGAGTGCTAGGATTACAGGTGTGAGCCACCACACCTGGCCTAAGCCAAGAATTAAAAGTGCCTCATAGTAACCTAGATGCAGAAGTGGGAGAAAAAGGCTGAAAGCAGTTTAGTTTGAGGTTGCAATGAACTATGATGATGCTACTACACTCTACCTAGGGTGACAGAGCAAGACTCTACCTCAAAAAAAAAAAAAAAGTGGGAGAAAAGCAAGAAAGAGCATATATAGACCTCATAATGGGACCAGCAGAGGCCCAAGGACTGAAATGAGAGTGAGAATGTGAGATGAGTCTAGAGACCTAAGTTAAGG